CACACACACACACACACACACACACACACACACACACACACACACACACACACACACACACACACACACACACAGAGGATCCTCCCTGCCTGCACATCCGATCACTCATGGGCCTGTCTAAACCACAGCATTCTACATGTATCTGGACTGTATCGTCACCAGGTTACATTCTGATTGATCCAACATTTTGAATGTATCTGGCAGGCAATACAGTCCAGACACATGTAGAACATAGCATAAAGAAGTGAGGCTTCCTCTTTCTCTCTCCCTCTGCCTCCCTCTCTCTCCACGTATTCATGCAGTAGCTCGTTCGCACAGAGAGAGAGAGAGAGAATGCTGTGACACTGTGTGAACTCCCTCTCTCTCTCTCCCTCTCTTGTCTCTGGCAGCGTGACAGGTCCGAAATCGGTGTCCCATTCCACCATGTTCCCTCGCCAATGGCCCTGGACATTTCGCAAAGTTGCCCCACCCAGTAGGGGGGCAAACCGGGTGAAAACGAGTGCAGGCCTGGCCATATAGGGCGTGGTCCAGAACGCAAATTACGGCACCTGCCTGACAGGGGCATATCGCAAAGATTTTGGTCCCAAAGGGCATCATTCCGTTCTACCCACATCTTTTATTTTAGGGCCATTTCAGCCTATATCTCAGCTTTGGCGGGTACATCGCAAATTATCCCTGGTGATAATAATTTATTTAATATTTAATGACTTATTGTACCTTTATTTTAAAAATTTTAACGATCATGGTCTGGACACATGAATTTTCATTCAAAAACTTCGACTTGGTCAAGTCATCCGATACCAAGTGCACCATTTTCTTAAACAGGGAGGTGTTAAAATCAAAATCATAAACCCATACCCCCCTAGACTCATAATCCTAAACCCATAACCCCCTAAATTCATAATCTTAAACCCATAGCCCTAAACCCATAGCCCTAAAGCCTTGAGCCCTAAACCCATAGCCCTAAAGCCTTAAACCCTAAAACCATACCCCTAAAGCCTTGAACCCTAAGGCCTGAAATTAACCTCCGTAAACCCATAACCCCCTAAACTCATAACCCTATACCCATAACCCTAAACCCACCATACCCTTCAACCCATATCCCTAAAGCCCTAAACCCTAAACCCTGAAAAATTTAACCCCCAATATGTAAGTTGCGGTAGCATGACTACTGTTTTTCAAAAAAAGTTTTAGGGATAGGGGTTTAGGGTTCAAGGCCTATAGGTACTGCGTCCTTTAGGGATATGGGTTTAAGGGTTCCAGATTCGAACCCATAACTTTTCGCCCACCAAAAGTTATTACCACTGATAGGTACGCCATCCTTTTTTTTTCCCCTTCTCCCTTTCCCTTTTTCTTTTTCTTTTTTCCTCTTCTTTTTCTTTTTTCCTCTTCTTTTTTCGTTTTTACTCTTCTTTTTTCTTTTTTACTCTTCTGTTTCTTTTTTTACTCCGAGCGAAACGAACTCAAAGGACGCCATCCTGAGTAGTAAGCGCCCATTTTTTTGTGCTACACACGCATGTATATATCGTCACAAACAGAACTGCCCGGTAAACCGTAGGCAGAGAGAGAGAAGAAAAACTCCAGGTCGTTTCTTTCTTCGATTTCGGGGAAAAAAAAAAAAAAAGAAAGGAAAAAAAAAAATGAAAACAGCAAGAGTCCACCGGTTAAAATTGGAACGATACAGAGAAGATTGGCATGGAAAAAAAAAAA